AAACCTATACCTGACGTTGGAGTTGAAAGTGGCAGAAGGAAAAAAAGAGATGAAGAAGTAGGTTATAGGTTAGAGTTAAAATAAAAGAAGGTAAAAAGTAATATGTAATTATAAAGTAATATGTAAGGGCATAATTGAAAAGAAAAATAGGAAACAATCTCACCACATCAAATCAGTTATTTCGAAAAATAGGACTTTTCATTGTTTCGAAATAATGAATTTAACAATACAATACAACTAATTTTAACTAAACAATCAAAACAAACATTATTTTGGGATAACAATACAATACGATATAATGGGTAACAACCCTCCAAACAAGTTGTAAGGTAGATGAGTTGGATCCAGATATTGGAGAAATTTGAAGCCAAATCTCAAGGCCTTCAATCCTTCACATACCATTTAGCTAGCACCAACAAGAAATCCACCCCCACGTCAAAGCGGTAAAGATTTATTTGCATTCAATGTTCATATTAAATCAAATAATTTAATCTTAGCATATAAAAGTTAAAACGAAAATAGCATGGGCTACACGGTTTTCAGATTGGTAATTAAAAAATAGGCAAGTAACCTACATTTGCAAAGTTATTAAAAAATAGCCACTAAATTATGCAGAAATAAAATCTGGACAAAAATATCCTAGCTGAAATGTGAAAAGTTCTAACTTAATATGCTGGATTATGGAGCTCTTGTGTATAAACTTCCAGCATATTATGTTGGAACTCCAGCATATTATAAAATTCTATCACATTATGATGGAATGTCATATGTGAAAAATTCGAATTCCAACATATTATGTTAGATTTTTTTTGGATTTTAAAAATATTTTTGTTCGAATTTTATTTTGTACGTTATTTGTAGGTAGATAAAAAGTCACATATTTTAGGGTTATTGTTTTGATGTAAACACCTAATGCTTTTACGTTTTTACCTATCAAAACTATGGCTTTAAGTAAGAAACTAAATGAGAGTTGAGAGTTGTTGAGACTTAAAACCTGGGTTCTAATGCCTAATAAGACGATAACAAAGAATGCACCAACTCACACATTTGAAGTGAAGAGAGAAAAAAACGCGTAGATATATATCCTGTGTGTTCACTTCCCTTCCGCACGTCGCCGTCAACTACGCTCCCATTCTAATTAAAAACTCTTGTCAAAAAAAAAATTGTATAGAAATCCTGAGATCAATTCGTTCACCAACATTCACTTGAGTCAGAGTTTGTCGCACCGGGCATGCCTAATACAGTTTACATTTCTTGTTTGGTTGGCGAGTTATTATACAATGATCAGGTTACCAATAGCGACTGCGAATTTTTCTAAGAATTATCCAATAATAATTAATTGAAAATCAAACACTAATTGACAATAATAAAATAGTAATTTATGGCTAAACAGCCTTCGGAAACTTCCAACAGAAGTTATACTTTTGAAGTTTGACGATTTCAACAGCTTATTGTCTGCAATGTGCTACTGTAGTACGTCAATTGTTTTTTTTTTATGGCTCAAATGAACAATTAACAATTTTTTTCCCATAACAAGCATTTTATTAGTGCTCTATTGTTTAAAATCTTTATTTAGTAGTAGTAATATTTTTGTCCAGGGGCGGCCCAACCTCACCGGAGGTCTAAAGCAAAATCTTAATAAGAGGCCTATATATATNTGTTGGTTGTATCACAACTGAAATGGGAGATCCCAGAAAACATAAGTGACTCCTTTTTTTTTAGTAAGTCCCTTTTTATATTTGGTAACAATTCAACTTTAGATTTTTTTTTTAACCATTAATGAGATAATTTCTAGCCCAAAAATTTCTATGATTTATTTAAGATTACAAGTTTCAAAAGCCTTCCTTTATTTCATAAAATCCATGTTCAGGCAAACACTTTCATATAAATTGGTACAGAGAGAGTATAATTTATGTAAGGAAAATAAATAATAAGTTAGATTATTAGATATAGTTACGTGACCAACTAATGAATAGAGAAATATAATTAAGTAAAAAAGTAAAATAAGATTGACAGAAAATTATTTTAGTTATATTAATTAGAGGAAGAAATCGAGTTATTAAAAATTAATATGACAATAAAGAAATAAATTTATCAATAATAAAAGATAATTATATAAATAATATACTACTATATATAGAGAAATACTAGTAATTTTGGGGCCCTTAAATATTTGAGGCCTAAAGCAAGTGTTAGGGTTGGGCCGCCCTGTTTTTGTCATGGAAAATAAATGATTAAAATTATGCACATGAATTGAGTGCATTACACTGGTTCTACTTCTAGTCTTCTACTAATCGGTAATCAAGTCTCTCACGTTAATGCCACTAATCTGGCGTCCAGGCAAATTAATGACTTTTTATCGTTCTAACTAGCCTGTCATTTGTCCAAAACAGATGTATTGTTACAAAAGCTCTTAGAAAAATCAAAGCAAATCCACATCGTTTCAAACTAGTGACCTTTTTTTCTTCATAAACTAAGCTGAACGCCTCCTTTAGTAGATGGCATAAATTCGCAGTTGATTTATAAATCAAGCTTAGTTAATTAAGATCCATGAGTCAACTTTAAGCAATTTTAAAAAATTATTTTGTGAATAATATAAAATAACGTAAGCACGTTATGGATTATGGTCTAGCATCTTCATGGGATATAATTTAACATTTAGTTTGTTTTGAATTTTTTTTTCCTTATCGTGGATGCTTATGAATTTTTAAATGTTTTAATTTAATTGTGAAATTTTCACACAAATTTATTAGCAGAAGAGGAATGTCATACATTTATCGGTATATATCGGTAATTTGAATTGTGTTGGTTAATTGACGTTTACATAATTCTTATTTTTGTTTTGTATAATCATTCGGTGTCTAGAACGATGTGAATGGCCTATAAAGTTAAAAGTGCATTCCACGTGGATTTATACTTGAAGATCTATCCAGACCTCTAATTAAAGTTGAAAGCGCATTCCATATGAAATTTTGTCGATAACATTGTTAGGTATTACACACCCCTCTGTTTAATATGCATATGCGTGCGAACTTCTCCGTGAGTATGTGTATATTATAGTAAGTGGTTAGATAGAACCATTAATTTGCAAAATTTAAATAAATTTGGTAACAAATTAACTTTCAGAATATAATAGGAGTATATATTTCAAATTTCCAAGACCTATGGTAACAAATACTCTCAATCTAATTACATATTCCAAATTTCCAAAATCCAATCATAAAATTTAGATTTCGACATATTCTGTAGCTTGACATTGAGGACAAGATGCGGGAAGCGCGACTTAGGTGGATTGGTCATGTGAGGAGTAGAAGCACAGACGTCCCGGTGAGGAGGTGTGAGAGGTTGACATTGGAGGGCCTACGGAGAGGTAGAGGTAGGCCAAAGAAGAGGTGGGGAGAGGTGATTAGGCAAGACATGGCGCAGCTTCAGCTGACTAAGGACATGACCCTTGATAGGAAGGTATGGAGGTCGAAAATTAAGATAGTAGAGTAGGTAATCTAGAGTGTTCATAACAGTAGTATTGGCACGCAGTCTCGCCTTCTGTTGGTAGTAGGTTTTTATGACTAACCGTTGTTTTCTTTCATTGTTGATCACCTTACTGTCTTATTATTTTTATTCTGCTTTTATATGTCCCTTCTTGTCTATATTTTCATTAATATAGTGCTTATGCTTTCCTGAGCCGAGGGTCTATTAGAAACAGCCTCTCTATCCTCACAAGATAGGGGTAAGGTCTGCGTACACATTATCTTCCCCATACCTCACGGTATGGGATAATATTGGGTATGTTGTTGACATATTCTGCAGCTGTTTTACTAGCTATAAAAGGACACTCATGGTTACTTTGATTATCCAGAGTTAGTAAAGAAAAACAACAAGAGCTACTGAAGACTAGTTAACTATATTTCTAGAACTAAAACAAAAAGGGCTAAGATTTTGATTTATATTTTACCTTTAGTGAGATGATTTATAGCTACAAAAATTTCAATGATTTGTTTCAGACCAAAAGTTTCAAAAAAAATTCTTGTTCTCCTAAACTCCATGCTCAATTTAATACCTCATATAAATTGAGACGGGGCAGCCTTATAATAAGGTCGTAAATAAGATTTTTTTTAAATGTGAATACTTATTTTTAATCTATCTTTTTTTATTGGTTGCAATTGGAACGATGATCCCATCAATAAAGGTAACAAACACATGTTACTAAATATATACAAAAATATTGTGTGATCAAGGCAATGTTGAGCCAAAATATTTTTCATTTTGCAAGCAGAAATTTGGACCCCAAGCCAGATTGGCTTTGATGGTCCTTTTTATGCTTGCTATTATCCTTGCTAGTCACCCCTTTTCTCTTTCCTTTTTTAATGAACTTTAATAATTCTATATGATGTTATTAAAGTATTCTTTGTACTCCAGGAGCCTTGGTAATGAAAAGTCTCTCTTTGTTTAATTTTTTTGTTCCATTTTTCTTCATTCTTCATCCATGGAAATTAATTAAATTTTAATTAATGTTTTAAATTTTAGAGTTTTCGTCCCAACCTAGGAATCTATACATAAACTTATAGCGAATTGAATTTAAGGTGCTATAGACTCGGGGATACAATACTATCTGATAAAAAAAACAAATAAGTTTATTTTTACCTCAGTAGGAAAAGAAATTAATGAATTAACTATTGATGCCAACATCGTCATTGAATTGTTTTCCATAACCGTGGTGTCCAGGCCATCCTAAATATAACCTGTGAGTCGATAGGAGTTCTTAACCTCATTAAATCCAACGACGCCAATAAAATGTAGAAAAATAAGAAAGAATAAAACTTGTAATTAAGAACAACCAACTGAAAATTAAGACAACCATACAGAGCGTATTAAGTCATAAAATGGCAACAAGCTCAAAATGCACACAACACGAACAAAGGCAGATCCAAAATCTTATGTTCATGAATTTTAAACCACAAACTCTTTTTGCTTATTGGTTTCGGGATAGATCATTAATATATATATATATATATATAGAGAGAGAGAGAGAGAGTGAAATTGTTAATACAAATACAAAGTTTGAGCTAAAGCTACTACAGGTTCAGCCGTGTATATATATATATATATATATATATAGAGAGAGAGAGAGAGAGTGAAATTGTTAATACAAATACAAAGTTTGAGCTAAAGCTACTACAGGTTCAGCCGAATCCAGAACTACTGTCGTGGCTTTTCTATTTTATCGTACACTAAACGGAAGAACAAAGAACTTGCACCTTTGATATTGCTACAACATGCTCAATTTACATAGCCAGTTGCTGGCATAACACCAAAAATTTGGATAAACGTCATTTGTTAAACTGTTTTTCTATAAATACATGCTAAACACTATTCTCATACACAGACCTTAAGCCCATAAAAAATGGATGGACCGAGTTATGTAATAATGAGATTATACCCCATAGCCGTATATAGATTTATGCTAAAAACCAAAGTGTGGGTGAACATTGTCATCTCTTAACATTTGCTCTTGAATTTCCTTTGAGATTTAAGGTCCACCACAATCACAGATATATTGTCTTTGCTACCTTTTTGAAGAGCCATCGACGAGAGATACTCTGCTGCTGCTTGTGCAGCAGGATCAACTCCTTGGCCCCTTTCCGGCAGAGGGTTAGTCCCATTCTTTTTGTGCCATAGCAGAATTCGTCGTCTAGCTACTTCACAAGCTTCCTCATTTGACATGACATCCCACAACCCGTCACTAGCTAAAACTAGGCATTCGTCTTCTCTAGCTCGTGGTACAAACATAATTTCTGGTTCGGGTANAGCTCGTGGTACAAACATAACTTCTGGTTCGGGTATAATCCATGGTTTCAAGTATCTGTCGCCTGAGGGTAAAAAAGAGTATACATGAATAAAGAGTTGACCGCCAAAATGATGAATACTTTTCAATTTTTCTCCTTTTCTTTTCAATAAGATGAATAATTTTCCTTTTGACATGTAAGCAATGCGGAATATGCATAGCATGATCTGTAAAAAAGCACGCAATAATGTGATTCTCGGACAATGCATAAGGTGGCAACCCATTCACAATCCGTCCAAAATAACTAATTGAAAGAAAGGAAAGAGCAGGGAACCAATAAAATTTCACTAACAAATCTAGTTTGATAGAAAGGGTAAATATAATCAAGAGAGACGGATAATCAGGAGCATAATTTGACTCAACAGGAAGATGTGGAAAAGGCTGCAGAACGACATGGCACCTTGACATATGAGTCTATTAAATGAAGGTCAGGTGAAATTGAGCTCCACTAAGACCCAATCCAATATTTCTAAAGATTTAAGTTCTCTAGCACTAGAATTTCTCGAAATTTTTTACTGGCATACAAAATCTTTGACAGGAACACTCCTTGGCAACAGTGAACCTAAAATAACATGAGAAAGTGTAGAAAGCATCTTCTGTAACAGTAGCTGTCTTCTAACTTGGGCACTAATAGCTGAATCTCGGCATTAGCCATGCAAAATCTGATGTACATTCCCTAAAGATCCCAAGGGTTCTCTTTTTGATGGGTACAACCATGAAATTTCTATTTATTGAGTTACTTTTCACCATACTACACTGTTCAATGTTTTCCAAGTGAATCTCACTCTTATCTTCAGTTCCTTATTTCTTTCTTATCTTTTATTGATTGTTTTCTATTAGTATTCCATCTTGCGTTGCAGTTTGGTTTTCCAGAGAATTCAATTTGTCTAGTTCCTGAAAAGTTTTAGTTAGACCTACAAATCCTTGGAATTAATACAGACTTAGCTAAAGATAGGGCATGAAGGAGGAGAAAGATCCATATAGGTGATACCTGTTAGTTGGGAATAGGTTTTAGACTTGGTAGAGAACTTTCAACATTATTATTATTATTATTACTATTATTTATATATAAATATCTATCTTTTTTTAACTCACTTTTACTTTATTTTGGCATGATGATGATATGAGTTGTGCTTACAGAAAGAAATGAGGATTCATACCGCCAACCCCAACTTGTTTGTGACTGAGGCATATTTGTTGCTGCTGAAAAGTTTTAGTTCAAGTTTGACGGAACTAATAATCAGCGATGCTACATCTCAATCTCTTTACAGATCAAATAGTAAGCATTTCTCTGTAACTAGAACTCAAAGTCATGCAGAACAGCTAAAATAGAGGATTAAATGTAGAGATAATCTCCATAAAAAAACAGATGAAGAGCTCAGTCGGCATATATAATGACCTAAAGTCAGAAGCCAAGGTTAAATTCAGAAATGTAGTTTATTAGTTCAAATGCAAACTAGTCATCATTTGTCATAGTTATAGACTAACAGGACCATATGCGATCACTAAGAAGGAGCATTTTGGATTATGGTGAAGCAAATAGAATTCTCCAAATTTAACAGACTGTCAAGACGAGAAGGTAGCCGTCTGACGGAAGCCAAAGAAAACAGGTATCAAGAAAATCCATTGCACACCACAGCATCAGTAGATAATACTCAACATATGCAAGCTGAAAGGTTTAGTACACCAACCAATAGATCTTGACATTGCAAGGACGCCAAAAACACGATGTCCATTCCACTGAATGACCTTGCCACCAGATGCTTCAATTCTTGCATACTCATCTTCTCTGCTTGGCTGGTAAAAGAATACAAGGTAAAAGAGTGAGATGGTAATGGATCAACCACATTCTTTCCTGCCAGAATAAGACAAGCGTGTATGTGAAAAAAAAGAAAAGAAAAGGGAAAAGGAGACAAAAGGTAATGCTAAATGTGTGATTTACTTTATGATCAATTGACAGTGCCATTGCTTCTTTGCCACGATAAAGGACTGCTCTTGAATCCCCACAATTAGAAACTACAATATGAGATGAACATATCACCGCTACAACTGCAGTGGACCCCACAGTTTCCGGGGCAATAGGTTCAGAGGCGCAGCTAGTGGTATCTATGTTGTCTTCACCGGGATCACTGTTTACTTTCCCCCCAACTTCATCGTCAACCTTGAGAAAGCAACTAGTAAAGACCTTCTCCCACTGCACCTGACGTGTGTCCTTTGCACTCCCGTCCACCATATCATCTTTAAAAAGTTTTAACTCCTCAACTAATGCTAAATGAATGCGTTTGCAGCAATAATCCGCAACCTGCATGACAAAACAGCAGTCAGTTATATTAAACTTAGTTCTCATTAAGTCGACTTGATGAGGATTTAAACTGATGGTAGAACACATAACCAGGTAGTTCGACCTGGAGAAGTTAAATTGACACATTTTTATCTTGCTGAAATGCTACACAGCTGAAATTATGGGATGAAGAAATGGCTGGTGCACTGTGTACAAGATAATTGTGAGGTCTGAAATAAATGATGTATGGAAAATTTGATTTATCTAAAGGAGTATTTAATTGGCTAATCAATCAATATAAACACATAAAAGAAACACTATACCTGAGATCCTCCATGACCATCATATACACCATAAAAATGAGATGTCAGGTGACTCAGACGTTGACTTAGTCCGTCAATCACACGATCACCAATAAACATTTTGATAGGTATTTTCATGAAATTAGGAACAACCATAAGAGCATCCTCCATCTCTGGTCTCTTTCCACAGATAGATACAGAGCCCCAGAGTGGCACGCATTCCAATTCAAACACACTCTTGACACTTTCTTTGACAGGTTCATTCTCACTGGGCAACGGAAGAACCACTACGGATGCCTTTAGCGTAGGGCCAGTAGTAATTTCATCATCTGGGATAGCAGCAACGGCGGACAGATTACTGATCTTTCTCTCAAAACTCCTTTCCTCCAAACTTATGACTTTGGCAAGTATTTGACCATTGTCAATACCCTCGATTTCAACAGCAATTGGCAAACTTAACTCCGAGCTAGCACCCAGTGGCAACAACTCCTCCCCATTAATTGCACAAGGATCCTCTCCAACAGATAAAATCTCGTCTTCTTCATTTCCCTGAATGATGCTATCGCTAACAATCAGGCCATTTTCAGCTCCCAATACAGTCTGCAATGGACCACAAAAGGGAACTCTACCCACCTCAGCTTTCATACTGTTGCTATTTCCATCCCAACTGGTACTGGGCTCAACATGCAACAAAGATGGATGATCTGAAAGTAAGCTAGCTGTGTCAGTCACTAATTTGAGCCTTGTGATTTCCATATTGTTCGAAATTGCAGGGTTATCACAGATAGAGGTGCTTAAGCTGAGTGTAACAGCAACAGCTGGAGACAACTCCTCCATTAATTCTTTCTACAGGAAAACAATATGCAAAAGCTACGAATGAATCTCCCCAAACTAGGAGTCAACCACGTTAGCCCATCAAAGCCCCTTCCGCGGTTCCACCAACAAATTTGCACCAAGCTTTATGTTTCGCAGAGTAGGACTGCTTTAAAGGGAAATTTACAAGCGCGATAAAATAGCTAAATTAAAAGCACAAGGAGATGAGCTACGAATCCACAAAAATTGGAAAAGACAGCTAAACTAAAAGCAAAAAAAGATGAGCTAGGAATCCACAAAAATGGGGAAAGACAGCTAAATTAAAAGCACAAGTAGATGAGGTAGGAATCCAAAAAAAAAAAGGGGGAAAGACAGCTAATTTACAAGTACAAGGAGATGAGCTAGGAATCCACAAAAATGGGGAAAGACAGCTAAATTTAAAGCACAAGGAGATGAGCTAGGAATCCACAAAATGGGGAAAGATAAAACTGAATGGGCAAGAAGATCTCAGTCAACAGCACTCTACAAGAAATAAAGGGTACACTAAAAAAGACCAAATAATAAGTGGAACAAGCTCCAGATTAGTGAGACAAACAAGGGTATGAGGGAGATCTGCAGCTGTAAACAGATCCAAACTTCTGTAAACTAGAATTATGCAATTCCCTGTAGGAGAAAAAATCAAGAACAAGAAGAGCAAATCCTATCTCCACCAACACCAACCCTTAAATACACAACAGCATGGGGAAAACGACAAAATCAAAGCCTTATCCATGAATTCAACAAGGGAAAGCAAAAGAATCATGGAAAAAGAACCTAGGAGAGGTAAAAAAAACAGACACCTAATCAAGAATCACAAGAAAACCCTAAAAAGATACAACCTTTTTTGCCACATGTAACTTGGGTTTCATGGATCTGAGGTAACTCATGTCCACCTCTCAAAATATGAGTCATTTACTAAATAAATTCTCGTTCTCCCTCAAACCCAACAAAAAAAAAAAAGAATCTCTATGCAGCAGATACTAAGGAGCAGTACAAATTATCCAAGTTTCCTAATAACTATAACATAAAAAAGCTGCCAAATTTACTAAAAATTCCGCTCAAAACAGTGGAAAACTATGCTTACCAACAAAATCCTTTTATCAAATAGCTTGCAGACTCTTAACTATGGCCAGAAAAGAAATGCCCCATTCTCAAGATTTTTATTTTTTAGAAGTTGCACATGAGAGAGAAATTGAACAAAGGGATTCAAGAAAAAATGTTTACCACTTGGTGTACTCCTTAAGAGGACACGTGTAGATACAATTATCTAACTCCAATCAATGCACCAGACAGACAATGCTTATGAATTGTTTTGTACATTTTTCACATAAAAAAAACAAAAGGGAGTTCATGGACTTTCCATGAAAACACCACGTGTCCTTTCTTGGCAGGTCAGCCATTACCTAAATAATGTCTCCATTATTTTCTTTGTCAATTATCATGTGTTCCATTCTTTTCAAAGGGTTTACTGCTAATGTACGCCTGTTGCTGCCTTTGCATATTGCATTTCCTTTTATTGTTGAAATTAGGTATTTGGGGTTATATGTTGTTTTCAACTATGTTTCAAGTTTTAAATTTGACATTAAATTCTCTCCCTCTTTCTTTTTTCTTTTTTAACCCAAAACAAGGTTTATTGCTTTTTCCTCTTTTGTGCAAATTTATGTCAACTATGCTCTTAAATCATTTACATGAAAGTGCACTAAAAATGTTTGTCTAAATACAATACAGTGAAGGGCAATGGTTGAACTTGAAATGTGTGCTTCTTCTTTGTTTTTATTTTTATTTTTTTATAAGTGGTTGAACTTGGAAGGTTTGAAACAATAAAGTCCTAAATCAAGTCTCGTTTTATGATTCCTTGTTCATCCAAAAGTGCCTTGATTTGTCCTATTCATACCATTTTTTAGACTTTTCAAAAATGATTTTGAGAATTTGCTTTAGTTCAACTATTATCTATTAGGAGCAATATATTTTCCCAGAGATATTAGATGTTTGATTAATAATATGGAGTACTTTTTTCCTCCAATAATAATACTTCAAGATGGATATAAGAGTACAAAGAAAATCAGAGGCGGACCTATGTGTTATATTGAGTAGTCAACGGACCTATAAATTTCGGTAGAAGTCTTATATATATATATTTAAATCACTTGACACCCTGAATGTTAAAAGTCTTTAGGGTATACTGATTGAACAAAATATTGCACTACCATCATGTTAAAATTCTGGATTCGCCTCGAAAGAGAATATCATAGTTTGCATAGAAGTATACTATAACCAATTATTATTGGAAAAATATGTTTTTTTCTTGTTTTGTTTCACACTGTTCCACAACAAATAATTCAAGATACGTCAACCACAGACAAACCTAAAGCAGAACAAAAGTAAAACCAAGAAAGTTATAAATAAACAAAAAGGCAGGAGAAAATGACAAGTAAGCACCATAACGTTACAAGAGTGGTGAAGTCTAAGATATATACGTAATAGATTTTTCTTTTTCTTGGTTCTTAGATTTTTCTCAAAAAAGAGAAGGCTAACGTATAAGAATTGAATTGATGGCTCTATAAGATTGGCTGAAGGAAATCAGATCAACTTTAGAACTAAAGAAAAGATAATAAAAACGTTACAAACATAACACGTCAAACATTACAATCAAAGAGCAGAAAGAATTGAATTAAATAAAGTAATGGCTATTTTTGACAATCCAATGGAAATGGGACAAGGAAGCAATGAGTAGGTTTTACTTTGCTTGGCTTAATAAAGAAAGGTTTTGCATTAAAGATGGTAGGTCAATAACCAAGTTTGGTGGCTATGTCACAAAGGAGTAGCATTTCTCCTTTACTTCTGCTTTCACCATTTGTCCACTTTTATAGATGAGGATCACCGCACCATTTGTGTTTGGTATCTTGATCAAATAAACTTTTAATATTTGATTACTTGGTACCCCTCCCGTTTTAATCTATGTGATACTTTTTTTTTTAGTACCAAAAGAATAATATATTTTTATATTTAGTAATAATTGAATCTTAAAATATTTACGTTATTTTTAATGAGATGATTTATAGACACATTTCGGACCATAAATTTTTAAAAATTTCTTTTTTTAATTGAACTCCGTGCAAACTCAAACACAATATTTTTTTGCTAGAAAGGACAAAGTGATTTCCTTTACTCGTGGAAGAATGAAATTTTCTCTTATAAATATGCGTATTCATACTTCATGTCATTTATCTCTGTCGACATTTATTTCGTATTAATATAATGAATCATAGATTGTTAAGAACTAAAATGTAGTTGTCACTGTCATTATTGAATAATAAAAAAGTATTACTACTATTTTTATCCTTAATAGTATTATTACGTGTGTAGACAATACATTGCGTCGAAAAAATAAAATCAAGACCGAAAATATTGCAACAATCGTAATATTTGATTTCGAGTAATTTGAGTCTTACTTATGATTCCTCTAATTCTACTTTTTCAATATAAATTCAAGGGCCTTTGAGCTTGATCTTAAATTTTAATTTGATTTATCCGCCGCGAACACTTTGATTGTTGCTATGAATTGTATCACGAACAAGTAGCATTGATCTTGAACGCCTTGTATTTAATTTGACTCCGTTCTTGATCTTGAATACTTGAAATTTGTGTTGAAGTGCTTGAATGCTTGAACACTTGCAGTTTGCAGAGAATTGTTGCCTTTGATCCACGAGCTTCCTTGTGTTTTTCTTGTTATAACTTCTGGTCCCTTTTCTAGGTTATGAAGACCACTATTTATAGTTGTGGAAGGGAAGAGTTATGATGAGAACAAACTCTTTCCGACCAATCAGATTGAAGTGTGACAATGCCATATTTGATTGGCCAGAACATGTCACTTGCACATGTGGCGCGATTTTATTGGCCTTTTAATTTGACTTGGCATGCCTTGTCATTTTTACACATAGCATGATCTTATTGGCTTTTCCGTTTGACTTGTCGTGCCACGTCATTTGATACGTGACACCAAACTAGGCCTCTAGGAAGATGATATGTTGGACCTAATGAGGTGGGCTCATCATTTATAACCCAATTAAATGGGCTAGCCCAATAATATTGGACTTATATAATTAATCCAATCATATTAGCCCAAAATATTTATTTGGACTAATATATTTAAAATATAGTCCACATTATTTATGAATTTAACTCCAATAAAATTTATATGCCTACAACGTGATTTTCATAAGTCATGCTATTTATATTTAATCAAATTCTGAAAAAAAACAATAATGATAAATACATCCCAACCTCAAACAAGTTGATATCAATTATATGAGTACTCAATAACCATGTTTCTCCATTTGAACGCTCAAAGACAAAAATATACAAAATAAATATTAAAAGTTCTCTATATTCTCTGGAGAAAAAAAAAAGAATCAGAAAAGTTATTTTTTGAGACAGCATTTTAATAACGAAACATTCTTAACGAAAACATCTTTCCCATACTGAATGCGATATCAACCACGTACTCCCAAACTTTCAACGGGCCAAAGAATTATTTTTGAGTAATTTTCATAATGCAATATAGTTTAGAGCCTAGTAACTATAATTTACCTAAAATATATCTATAAAACGCGCAAAAAATCTATAATGAATCATATATTTTTTTGTTTCGTAAATTTGCTATAAAATTCAAATATATTTATGAATGGTAAATTTGCTGAAAGTATAACTATGAATGATAAATACAGTATATATTTTGACGTGTAGCATAATTTTTCCATTTTTTCCCCTCCCTATATGTAGGAGGAGCTATAGGAGAAAATGAAACGACGTTAATCTCTCGTTATTTGGTTTATATTGTTATGTGAGGATAAAGATATAGAGACGTTGAAGAATCTTGAAATGGTATTTCACTGAATTGTATCCCTTTTTGTCTTGCTTTCTTTTTTTCCTTCCCCCTTTATTGAGGCCTTCCAATTAACTTACAGAAAGAGAACTAGAATGGAAAGAGTGTAGTGCATCATCACAAAATCAAAATCGAGCACCTTAGGCACAGGAAACTGTATTGTAGCTTTTAACACTTCAATTCCAGCTTCAAATACTCAATTTTTCAACTGCATCTCGACTTCAGGTGCTAGCTTGTCGAGTATATCCTCCTGCCTCACAGGCCTCATCAGTAATGGCTGCTCTAACATACAAACCGCAGCACAAACCATGTCTAACAGCTAGATGATGGCATGTTAAATTTTGGATTACCGACTTTGAATCCACGATGAAAGAGGAGAAAGGAATTTGCAATCATGAACGACCAAATGTGGCACGTATCCAGCGCCTAAGCATATCGAGTCAAGTAAACACAGGTTAATAAAACATCAGTTTTTATTGATTATCAGATTCATGATTACAAAAGTTTCCAGGAGGTGGTAGAGCATTAACAGAGAAAATGATGTGAATACACAATAGACAAGATAAGATACCAAAAATAATGTTTTTCTAGGATCATCTCCATCTGTTTATCTTTCTTTTCCTCTCTAAGCAGGTATTCATGTCCAAATCTAACTTAATTTCAGAAGATGTTGGTAAATGAAAGATCTATTGAAGAGAATCCAGAAAAACTAATGAAGAAAAAGAAGATATCTTCAACAAAGGAAAAGGAATCAAGAGAGATACCGTTGCATGGTAATATTCCGAGAATGATTCGTAATTTCTTTGCAATATGTGTTTATATCCACGACTACAAAACCAACACTCTGAAACAAGGTTGATACGAAAGCCTCCGAAAAGTAAAATGAACACTGAGCCAATAATGGCAGCGATTTAGCTGAAGTTAATATAACAGCAGGGAAACACAGATAAACAAACAACCTCCAGAGAATACTTACAGTTCCATCTCCTCGAAAATAAAAATTCTCACGAATCATCTGGTTTCTGTCATGCAATTTCACCTGAAACTTTCTGAGTGTAAATTCCATGCCACCTAAAAACTGCTTCCAATTCCAGGCTTCTATCATGCAAGAAACTTGAAACAGAAGAAAGGGCCACAATTACAATGTTCAGTAACAAAGATGTTTAGGGATGATGTTTCACTTTTAGACAGAAAACATCCCATACAGAATGCTCTCTAATCAAATTCTCCTGTCAGCTAAATCATTAACCAAAGCTCCATTAGAGTTCTTCATTTTGTTGAGCTATGAAGCGCCCACAAAGAACAGTTATCCACTAATCAAAAAGATCTATTGAAACAAGATGATAATTAATGCCACATTGAAATTTCACCCGACATACTTCCATTTCGGATATGGCGAGGATGTCACACACCGTATTGGGGTAGGATGGATGAAGTGGAGGTTAGCATCTGGAGTCCTGTGTGACAAAGAGAGTGCCACCGATACTCAAAGGTAAGTTTTATAAAGCGGTGGTTAGACCGGCCATGATGTATGGGGCTGAGTGTTGGCCCGTTAAGAACTCACATATCCAGAAGATGAAAGTAGCAGAAATGAGGATGTTGCGGTGGATGTGCGGGCACACTGGGATAGATAAGATTAGGAATGATGATATCCGGGAGAAGGTGCATGTGGCTCCCATTGATGACAAGATGCGGGAAGCGAGGCTTAGATGGTTCGGACATGTTCAGAGGAGAAGCCCAGATGCTCCGGTACGGAGGTGTGAGCAGCTGGTTGTGGAAGGCACGAGAAGAGCTAGAGGGCGACCTAAGAAGTATTGGGGAGAGGTGATCAGGCAGGATATGGCGAAACTCCAGATTTCCGAGGACATGTCACTTGATAGGAAAATGTGGAGGTCGAGCATTAGGGTTGTAGGTTAGGAGGTAGTTGAGTCGCGCCTTACTTCGTACCATTGTGGGACTAGCCATGTAGGGTTTTTGTCTAAGATAGCTAGTGGCAATGTTGTGGCTTACTATTTCGCTTTTCAGTGCATGTCCTATTTACTAGCTATCGCTTTTGCTTTGCATCTTTCTTCTAGATTTCATGGTGTTCCTATTTTTCTTATGATTGTTGTGGTGATACTAATATTTACTAATATTGTCTCCCTTTGCTTTGCATCTTTCTTCTGAATTTCATGATATTCCTATTTATCCTATGATTGTTGTTGTGATACTAATATTGTCTCCTTTTTGTCATTTTGTCTTTTTATTTTTTTGAGCCTAGGGTCTTTCGGAAACAACCTCTCTACTCCTTCGGGGTAGGGGTAAGGTCTGCGTACACACTACCCTCCCCAGACCCCATTAGTGGGATTTTACTGGGTCGTTGTTGTTGTTGTTGTATACTTCCATTTCGGAAATTATACCCGGCATACTTCCATTTTGGCAGAGGTATCTGCAGCACTAGCCACAACTCTGGGCATACCAACTATCTAATAACATAGTTATCAACGATAGGAAAACGAGAGAGGAGGACTTTATCCTCTTTTGTTTCAAATAGGTGTTTTATCTTCTTTGCCAACTGAAATAAATAAGGCCAAAGTACGCAGCACTATTTTCCTGTTCAAGTAAGGTGGTGAGTATATGTAGCACTATCTTAAATTTTGTTTACTGAGCTATTGGAACAAAAGTGAAATATTATCTAATTTTCAGCCATCAAATTTAAAAAGTGAATGGTTCAACGAATCCGTTTCCTCTCTTTTAGTCTTTTCTTAACATGCAAGATCCCATCACCCCCAACTGCAATCCCTTTTCACTTCAAACCCGTACCACCAGAGCTGGTCATGTGACTTGTGTTATGCATTTCATATGTATAACCTATTACAAGTTAAGCACACAAGAGTGGGTTGCTCTAGTGGTGAGCACCCTCCACTTCCAACCAAGAGGTTGTGAGTTCGAGTCACCCCAAGAGCAAGGTGGGGAGTTCTTGGAGGGAGGGAGCCGAGTTTCTATCGGAAACAGCCTCTCTACCCCAGGGTAGGGGTAAGGTCTGCATACACTTTACCCTCCCAAGACCCCACTAGTGGGATTATACTGGGTTGTTTGGGTTGTTTTTGTTGTTTGTTGTGGTATTACAAGTTAAGCATGTAACTCTGGTTTGAGACAAGTAGAAGCTAGACACAAAAGACTGCCTCACATCAGTATATATGAAGATTCAAGGGCTGCATATACAGGGGTTTACCTGAGCAGAATCTCCAACTGCATAATCTCGTAAAAGAATGTGACCATTTGGCTGCAAAATGAGATCGCAAGAGCATGGCAGATCCATTCAATTATCAAATACTAGAGAAAGAGATAGGAAAATGAGGCAAAGCATCCTTCTGAATTCAAGTTTTACCTTTAGTACTTTTTTACAGTTTTCTAGAATGGAAGCCATCTTCCCAGGAGAAACTGCAGACAATGTAAAAATCTACTTAAAGGAGTTAGATGCTCATATAGGCATACATCTTCTGAACTTTCCCTAAGGAAGAAGATATGGTTATTCTGTGCTTTAAGCAGTTGTAGAGATTCAGATTTGATTACTATACTTTTTGCCTTTTTAAGTGATGATTTGATTACTATACTTACTCCCTTCACTTACCAAGGTTACAATATCAACAGTAGAAGGCATGACGTTAACACAGAGATCATCCTTTGCGGCATCACAGACAAAGACGTTCATCTTTTCCGCACTGAAATTTGCATGTGACTGCATCATATAGGACAAATAACTTTAGGAGTTTGTGTGTAGTTACTGCTGCATCATATAGGATAAGTAGCTTTAGGCCACAAGCATGCCATAAAAAAAGCAAGGATTACACTTTGAGTTTGTCATGCAATGGAGAACAAGCACAGTTCCTCAGACATATCACATTAAATGCAAATAACGGAATAATCCAGTTGAAGCTAACAAAATTTGAAGAAAAAAAAATTTATTCAACAGAAAGTCATCAAGAGAACAAAGTTATGGATGCTCAATGAGATTCTAAGCAGACTACAATGGAAGCTAAAAAAGCTTAGAGAACAAAAACTGGATATAGCAGCTAATCTAAAGAGAAAAATGATCAGGGGTACTGACTGAGATCCTAACCAGATTACAGCTAATGTAACAGGGCTAAAGTAGCCATAACACTTAAATACTTCTATTTGATAATGATTTTAGAAAGTTGCAAATGAAAGATACAAAAGACATGAAAAGTTCCTCTATGCAAAAAGGAGAACATTTGGATAATGATCCATGCTGAGCAACATAGAGTTCCATTGAGAACCTTCAGAACTAAATTTTAGTTCCATTTTTCACACGATGAATCATGCCAAATCCAATTATTTACCATAAGGTTCAGACCATATTGGAAAGACTCCTTAGCCATTAAACCGTGACAGAGAAAATACAAACAAATTTCCAAATACTTCAACTTGTAACTAAAAATTGATTCTTTAAGGTATGCAAGTAGTAAAAACTGGCAGTCTCTATGAATTTAAAGTTACTCTTGATGACAGTATAACACAAGAAGGTTGACAAACCTTAACAAGGGTTATTGCCTGGGGTGAGAAATCACAAGCGTGAACATAGAGATTGGGAAACGTAGCTATGAGAGGAAAAATCGTATTCCCCGCTCCACAGCCCACCTGTCAATATCTATTTAGTTAAACTCTTCAGGTAGCTACTAGAATAAGGTATATAAATAGCAGCAATGAAATCACCTCTAAAACAACCTTCACATGGGAAGATTCAATTTCATCATCAAAATAACTTCTCCAATCCTTTTCCAAGTAGTGCCGGTCCTTGAAAAACTGCCGAATATGCAAATGTTTGTAACTGAATTCTATTCCCTTCGCTTCAATTTATGTGACACTATTTTCTTATTAATCCATTCTAAAAAGAATGATGCATTTTTATATATAGTAACATTTCAACTTTAAACTTCATTTTACCCAGAAGTTCTTATAGTCACTTAAATTTTATAACACATTTAAAACCACAAATTTCAAAAGTTTTCCTTTCTATCACGTAAATTGGAACGGAGGAAGTACAATGTATGAGATGATAAAAATGAAAGATTTGATTTTTATTTGTTAATACAAGCAATTGGGTCATTATTGTGGAGTATGGACAAGGCAGGAGCTTTGTACCTTGTTTTTGTGGAGCTTGTAGAACTTATCCCAGTACTGTTGAGACCTTCTACTGTAATGGTGGTTCTCACTGTCATTGGATAATGAAGTCCAAGCTCGAATACTCAAATATCTCGTGCCTACACGTGGCGCTGAATAAGCTGGCCACGTCGACGGCAACACCGTAACCGGAGGAGCGCCGGCGGCATGCATTCTCCCCCCTCCCAAAATGCTCCACGCTTAGTATATGGTTAGGTTCGTTAGTGTGGGAAATTATGGATGAAGTAAGATGAAACGTCGTCGTATAAGTACGACGTACGACGGTAACAGCTGTTATATTTGTGCTGAGCTTACGATGCTGTAATATCGCAGTGTTTCTTTTACGGAAATGCTCCCTTAAGTTTTAGAGTTATCATATCTCATCCTTAAAATATAGAACTTCACATAAATAATCCTCTAAGTTCATTTTTCGGTCAGTTTTGGTTTCAACTAACGAAACATATAGAACAAAGTTGAGAGCAACATATTTAATTTGAATCAGCGATGAATTTCCAAACATTGCAATGGTTACAAATGTGATACTATTGTCCTGCTAATAGATGGCCTCTCAACTCGAATACGCTACGCCATTTAGCTCAAAAAATCAGCTACTCATTATCAACAACAACAACAACGATCCAGTGAAATCTCACTAGTGGGGTGTGGGGAGGGTAATATGTACGCAGCCCTTACCCCTACCCCGAGGGAGTAGAGAGGCTGTTTTCAAAAGACCCTCGGCTCAAAAAGACTAAAAGAGACAATATCAGTATCACCAATAGAAACCATAGGAAAGATAACATCATGTAAATGAGAAAGTAGATGCAAAACAAACGTGATAGAGAGTATATAGACGCGACACTATGAAAAATAAAAGAGCAGTAAGACACAACATTGCCACTAGCTGACATCGGCAAAAACCCTACTATACTAGCCTCACAAAAGTACGAAGTAAGGTAGACTCAACTACCTCCTAACCTACAACCCTAATACTCGACCTCCACATCTTTCTATCAAAAGTCATGTCCTCGAAAATCTGAAGCCTCGCCTCATAATCATATCATTAATTTTTTACAAGCCATTATTATTGATCTTTAGTGTTGATTTACCAGGAAACTCAATTAATGCATGAGTAGCTAAAATATTAGTGCTAATATGTGTCAAGAAAGAGAGAATATATGTATATTTATATGCCTATCAACATATATTATATAAGCAAAAATATATATATAAAAAAGTAATCATGGCATGTTGGAGATTGTCAAACATATCAATGTACGTTTGGTTGTGATCGAGTTTCATTCATTTTAACTTGTTCTACATGTTCTCAGTTTGAAAACCAAAAGTGCTTCCAAAAAAAAATTCAAAGAACATATTTTGTTGTGGGACAAGATTAGACCAACCCTTAAACTCAAGGGATCATTTATGTCAAAAACTCGAATATCAGAGGTGGGGATGGGATGCGAATATTCAATGGAATTGAACCAGTCAAAGTCCCACTTTCATAAAACCGGTTCCCTAACCCTCGAATTAAACACGCCGACCCAAACACTTGAACCGGTCCGATTTATTAAAACTCGCGCAAAAACACCGAAGCCACATTTTGAAGTGGTAGAGTAATATACAAGAAAGAAAAAAGAACCCCCTTTCTCTCTTGGGTTCTCTGCGATCTCTTTTTTCTGAAGCCAAACCAAAACCCTAGCTCTTAACCCTAGACCAAACCCAAAGAGCAATGGCATATCAGCACCAATCACCTAATCACAACGGCGAAAACGACGACGGCAAAAATCGCCGGCTCTATAACCCTTACCAAGACCTACACGTTCCAATTCAAACACTTTACAAGCTTCCAACTTCACCGGAGTTCCTTTTTCAGGAAGAATCCGTCGCCCAGCGTCGATCATGGGGTGAAAATTTGACCTACTACACCGGCATCGGTTATCTAGGCGGCGCCGTTGNTGGCGGCGCCGTTGTCGGCGCCGGTAAAGGATTTGTTGACGGTGTGAGAGCTTCGGAGCCAGGTGACACCATGAAGCTTAAGATCAATAGAATCTTAAACGGGTCGGGTCATACGGGACGGAAGTTTGGGAATCGGGCCGGCGTTATTGGGCTGCTTTATGCTGGGATGGAGAGTGGGATGGTGGCTATTAGGGATACCGATGACGTCATCAACAGTGTGGTTGCTGGATTAGGGACTGGAGCTTTCTACAGGGCGGCGGCGGGGCTGAGGTCGGCGGCCGTGGCTGGGGTTATTGGCGGCGTGGTTGTTGGCTTGGGGGTCACCGGAAAACAGGCGCTAAAACGATATGTGCCGATCTAAGGAATTTGTGCTGCTTTTGGGTTTGTCGACACTCAATCTTTGGTAGCTGTTATTTGTTTCTAAAAATTTTGATATGATACCTTTGAGAAATGTGATTCTCACACTGCGAAGTAATGTAATTTGGCATGAAAGTTGCATGCTTTTTAGTTATATTTAAACATATTTATTGAATATATATGCTGAAATTAGGTTTAGAGGAGACTTGCTCTCCAATAAAGTTAAAAAAACTGAATCTTGATATGCTTATTTCATTACTTCTTTTTATGTCGATGCTTGTGTTGAAGATTTGTATAGATGATATAATGCGTTTTTTCGTGCTTAATTTTTTTTTTCCAAGTGTACTTGTCAAAAAAAGATGGTCTTTTTGCCCAAGTTTTACTCTATTTTGAAGAGTGTGCTCAGTAGATACCATGCATTTGATCAACTTTCTGCTAGCTGCAATGTTGATGGCATGCTCCAGCTAGTTGTTTTGGCGGTGGAAGAGTTTCTCTCTGATTCCAGATAGTTCTGGCATGTGAATAACCTTATGGAATTCATGTGTGGTTCTCACGAGTAGAAATCTGCTAGTTATTAATTGCATCTGTATATACATGTGTGCAGTGTTTGTGGAAAGGCTTGGGGCACCAAGTAGTTGAATTTTAGCTAATCTTAATTGAAGAAGAATCAATGCTATCATAACATGCCTTGTGCCAAAATGGTGCCTCATCCTCACGCTTTCTGTTCAAAGAGACTGTAATGTGATTTTTTATTGATTTCTAAGCAGTGTATTCGCTACACATGAGAGTACTTATCAGCAAAAAGTATTGGTTATGTGAGATGTTTTTCTCTTAATAGATTTATGGACACTATGTATGGTAGAGTATTATTGCTATATCTTTCTACTGCCATATGATGTTTGGGTAATTGCGCAAGGGCTTTGAGTTCCATGCCATTGATACACAAAGGATGGAACTTTGAAATGATTTGAGTTCACCCCTTCTGATGGCATTTTTATTTAATGATTGTTGCCAAGTGTGTGAATTTCTTGTGCTAGTGCTGCTTTTTGGTTCTCTTGTTTTGCAGCTCTTTGTACTGCCATATGATGTCTAGGTAATTGCGCAAGGGCTTTGAGTTCCATGCCATTGATACACAAAGGATGGGACTTTGAAATGATTCTGAGTTCACCCCTTCTGATGGCAGTTTTATTCGATGATTGTTTTCAAGTGTCTGAATTTCGTGTGCTAGTGCTGCTAAGATTGGTAGACTTAGATATATGCTGACTAGGATTAAGAAGGAAGAATGACTTTGATACTCTGTTTTCTGGAGGAGTTGATTGGCACTTTTTGAGAAAATAAAACACCATCTTTTATTTCTCTACACTAACTTCCATATTTCCCTATTGTCTATATGTTTTGGCATCTCTTGTTTTGGCTCTTTGTACTGCCATATGATGTTTGGGTAATTGCGCAAGGGCTTTGAGTTCCATGCCATTGATACACGAAGGAATGGGACTTTGAAATTATTCTGAGTTCACCCCTTCTGATGGCAGTTCTTTTTCCAATTATTGTTGTTAATTGTCTGGATTTCATGTGCTAGTGCTTCTAAGATGGTGTTAGACTTAGATATCTACTGAATAGAATAAAATGGAAGAATGAGTTTGATACTCTGTTTTCTGAATTTGGAGGGAAATAGCATCTTTCTTTTCACTACACTAACTTCTGTATTTCCCTATTGTCTGAATGTTTTTGGTACTCTTGTTTCCAGCTCTTTGTACTGCCATGTGACGTTTGGGTAATTGCGCAAGGGCTTTGAGTTCCATGCCCTTGATACGCAAAGGATGGGACTTTGAAATGATTCTTAGTTCACCCTTCTGATGGCAATTATTTCCAATGATTGTTGTAAGTGTCTGAATTCATGTGCTAGTGCTGCTAAGATGGTGTTAGTTTTTTTCCAATGATTGTTGTCAAGTGTCTGAATTCATGTGCTGTTGTTTCCAGCTAGTTAGTTTCCGTTCTAAGTTTTTCTTCTTTTTGGTATTTGAGTATTTTATTACAAAACCACTCAAGTAAAGGCTGCATATCTTTACAATTTAGTTACACAACTCTAAGTTGCTCAATCACTCCCCTCAGCCATGCTTTCTTTCCTCTCTCTCTCTCTCACCACGTCCTCTTACGATCCTCCCTCCCTCTCTCTCTCTCTCTCTCACTCATAGCCATAGAGACACTAATATCTACACAACCTGGTTATTATCTTCTCTGGCTTTGATGTGTTCCCATTTCTTTCTTCTCAAAAACCATTCCTCCCCATTATCTTACTTACTCTCTCTCTCTCTCTCTCTCTCTCTCTCTCTCTCTCTCTCTCTCTCTCTCTCTCTCTCTCGATCTCGACAAGAGGCAGTATTGACCCTCAGGTTGGAGTCCTGATTCATGGGCATTACCCCCGTTAGATTTTCTTATGAAAATGCTATGAGAGGGCTTTCACACGCGAGTAGCACAATTGAGTACACTAAAAATCTCGATTGGGGGAGGAAAAACTCTCCAAAGCTTGAGAAAAATAAAATCGTAGATGTCTAAAACCTTATCTAGTGTGGTTGAAATGCATCAATCTCTTTGTCTTCCATATTCATATGTCAAAATTTATTAAATTTTTATATTTTTTTTGAATTTGAAGTGGTATTTTGATATTTTAAAACTAAATAGAACATAAATAGGTATCATATTGATTTTTATGTTTAATTATTAAATTTGGTTAACCTTGATAGATTACATTAAGGAAAAATTATTGTGAGATGACCAAAAAATAATTATTATATGTTACAAAGAAAATTTTCCCAAAAAAATATTTTAATAGATCATGTGTTTATTAATTTTTAAAATTTTATTAAACATATATTTACTTATATAAAATTTAATAAAGTAAGAGTGAAATAATATTTATATAATTAAAATTTTTGAAAAACTCGACAAACCGAACCAATCCAAACCGA